TGGCTACAGCTTGATGCTAACATGTTTGTTAGCTGTCAAAATTCAGCCAGAATTCAGAGATTAAAATCAGAATTCTGAGAAAAATTGTCAGAATTCTGAGATTAAAGTCAGAATTCTGATTTTTTTTTTCTCATATTATACTGAGATAAAATTTAAACATCAGTTAAATTTTTTAAAATTCTTTCAGTGGCCCTAATCCTGTTCTGTATGTACTGTAGGTAATATAAAATTTTAAAAAATTGACTACATCTGATAACAGAAGGAACATCAAGTATTGGATGAAATGTTGAAATATTTAAAAGCACACTGTATCATAAAAGTATATTTATTTATTTTTTTTTTACAACTTACAGGTTTATATTTGACAAAAGAAAATGGTCTAATGGTCATCCAATAATAATTTCTGGAAGCAGCCTATTGAACTAGCCTATTTCAATTATCTTCTTTCTTGTTGGGTTGGTTGGAAAATTGCACAAAAATGTACTTCACAAACCTGAAAGATGAGAATACCTATAGCGTTTTGCTTATATGAATAATGCTTCTTTTTGCACCCCAGAAACTGTAGTAGGGATAATTTGATGCCATCTAAGCTAGGCTGTCATATATTGGAATTGCCAAAAAAGTTAAGCTGCTTTTCGTCACAAAGTAAAGATGAAAAATATGTCTGGCACTGCTGATTTTATGCAAGTGAAGCTTAAACATGGTAAATGTGTCATAATCTTACTTAATCTCATCCCACATCATGAAAGTTCTCTATTTGTGCTGATGAAGATTTATTCACCTCTGCATGCTTTATTCTTAAAGTATCTGAGGGTGTACCATGCTTTTGGATGGTGCAAAGCAAGTTTCCCCCCCACCTAAAGCCCTACATGCATTTAGTCATTGGAAAGTGCAACACTCAGTTCAGCCCAGGAATCCGTTCAATGAAGCAGGTTTACTCCACCTGTTTCAGTCACCGTAGCAACATTCTCCCCAGAGCTAACCTGGTCATGAGCAGGTTTTGTTCAGTAAACTCAGAGTATCCTGTCTTACAGCCAATTGCTATGTGTTATTTCCTAATTAAGTCAGATTTTTGTCATTATTTTGTGCATTAAAATAATCATTCACTAGATCTGTGAGAAACATTAGCTATTAAAAACAAAATTTGCTTGTCCTTTTGACGAAAATCTTATTAAAGAATGATCAGCATTATTTCACAAAGAACTAAATACTTATAGGGAGAAGATTCTACAACCCAGTTGACTAGATGTGAGATTTGTTTTTGGTTTATTTAATATGAGCGACATGCAGATTATTTTATTTGTATTTATTTTACAGCACACGAAGAACTAGTGATTTTTTTTTTCAAATTACATATAAATAGATTCATTCATTATGTTGGGGGGGGGGGTTAATTTAAGATTCACTCAGTGATAACAATCTACTGAGCCTATGGGACTAATAGCCGCCAATAGCAACCATTTATTGGCATAATCATCTCAAGCAGCCTTTTAGTATTTGCTGTGTAATGGAAGACTGAATCAAACTAATTGATGGGATCAATTTAGTCTTGTGGATTTTAATCTGAGTTTGTTAAATCTGATTCTTGAAATGGACCCCAGGTCAAATCCCAATGTGCAAAAACCTGAGAGTCTCTCTTTGATTCCTCTATGACAGCCGTATTTCCTGGAAGCCCACAAAGCTCATCATCTCTACCCTAACCTGTAGCTGGGGGTTTATTGTTATGTACCTATTGCAAAACTATATCATTTCATTCTATATTAAAGGAGCATGAAGAAAAACTAACAGTCCACAGAGGAAAATATTATTTAATGTGCAATTTTTTGTGTTCATTGTGACTTTAATATTTTACACTAGAGATGCACTAATCCAATATTTGCAAAGAAGCATTTGTATCGGTCTCATCTGGCCTGAAGTAAAGACAGTGTGTTCTTGAAAACTCAATTTGAAGTTAACTGTGAAAATAGGAAATGCTTATACAAAAAAAGTTGAAAATAAAATTTTGGGGAAAAACAATAAAATAAAATCTAAGGAAATAAAGTACCTTACGAAACCTTTTTTTTTGGCTAAAAAGTTTTTCAGATTTTCCTTTCTGAATTGCCTTTTATTCAAATTTCCATTCACAAATCGTGTTCTTAATTTTCAAAAAATATTGGAACAAAATTCACCCCACCAACCTACGATTTTCACAAAGAAGATTATTGGGTAAACTCTGTCACCCAATCAGACCTTATAATGCTGAAGTTCTGCAGTTTACCACTGCATAATTAATATATCTTCTTTAGTTGTTTGCAGATAAAACGTTGAAGAACTCAGAACTTCAAACAGGTTCCGCTTTATTTTACATTATGTGAAAATCGCTTGTAAGCCTCATTTCTATGCGCTTTATGTATTGCATTAAGCAAATAAATATGCGATGACTATACTTTGTGCTCTTTGTGTTTTTTTTTTTTTTGTTTTTTTTACAAGCGTGGGAACAGACAGGGATTTTGAACAGGTTGCTGCATCACCTCTCCTCCCTCTGTTATTCTCCCCTTCAGAGTGTGTGAAGCTGTTGCTGTCTGCAGGATTGCCTGCTGACATTTCGGATGAAAATGGATTTACACCCTTACACTTTGCTGCCGCCCACGGCCATACCAGGTGAGACTCAGTTAAAATGCTTTTGCAAAAGTCATGCTGTATCTGTCATCTTTGTACATTTGATTAACATTTATTACACAAGAGTTATGTAAACCAGAAACATGAAGATTATGATTCGGTAACACTTTCTTTTACAGTACATCAATAACCATGTAATAACATTGTAATAACATAGCAAGTCGCACTATAGTACTTGGTAACAAGCAAAACTTTTTGGGTAATTACCCCAAGGTAAAGGTATATGATTTCAAAAATGATAAACTGCACATAATTATTACAAATGTATGTGACTATGTAACATTTTAATTACCATTAGATTACCACATAACATTTTCTATTATAAGCCACCACCTACAAATATAAAACTGAACTCAAGATGTACTGATGAATGAATACTGCTGTCACTGTGCAGATCATCTGGTCTAAACTTTCAGCAGATGTTTTTTCTAATATGTTCTATTTTAATTTTTTTAAAGTCTTTTCAATGTATTTTTTTTACAGCTTCCATATATATTTTTTTAATTATTATTTTAACAAGCATTCTCCTCTCAAAACAAAAACAAATGGAAATAAAAGTTACATATGATAAATATAATTTGAATTTCTAACATTTAAAAAAAATGGGCAAAGTACTATTTGAAAAGTATAATATGAACTTTGTTTTTGAAAAAAACACAATTTTGAGACGGCAGCATTCACTTTCAAAACCTTTTTTGACTGAGAGGTTCTGTTCTCTAGATACCTTTTGTTATTTCGATTTACAAAAAACATTTTTTTCACTGCAACAATAATGGCACAAAATTCACTTTATATGAAGGTCGGTGCGTGTTTACCTGACTGTAGTTTTCCAGGACCGAGAGGGGATGCTGCTCGGAGAGCACAACACCAGTTTGTTATTCAATTCAATTCAGTTTATATCTATAGCACTAATCACAACACGTCATCTCAAGGCACTTTACAGTTCACAGTTCAAAGGAAAACCAGTTGATTGCATCGACTCATTTACTCGGATGCAATCCCTCACACTAAGTATGCTTGTAGCAATAATGGAGAGTGAAAACTCCTCCAGCAGAACCAGGCTCAGTGTGAGCGACCATCTTCCGAGGCCGACTGGGGTTCAAGGAGACAGAAGCAGAGATACAAAAAGCAGCTGTAAAAGGCGGCCCCGTCCAGGAAACACAGCCAGGCAGACAAGCTCTAAGCCAACTCCCATGTCAGAGGATGAAGACAGCACATCCAGCCAGTTATGGTCAGAAAAACAGGACTACACTGGAAAAACAGGCCGACCTCCAACATCTATAAACAAGGGTGTTGGTGGCAGCAGCACAGCTGATATTTCTCTCCAGGATGGTGTCGCAGCCAAACAGGAACAGATGAGGTGAAGCTATGAGAAAAAGCAGAGAGAACATAACATTAAAGATTGAACTAACAGATTCTGCAGAGTCGGAGAATAGAGATAGAATGAAACAGATAATGAAATGGGGGTCCCTATGTCCTCCAGAAGTCTAAGGCTATAGCAGCATAACTATAGAGATAGTTCAGGATAACCTGAGCCCCTCTAACTATAAGCTTCATCAAAAAGTTATGAAAGAAGGTTTTGAAAAACAAATATATTTAAAACTTGTTTTTTAAAGCTGACTTTACATATTTTTTTGTTTTATTACTCTTTTTCTCACTTCTTTATAATGTCAATATTATCTCCCTCTAATGGCGACTGTCTTCAGTGTCGAGTCATATGTTTTATCTTTAGGAAATTCTTTTTTCACCTACTGCTGACTGATTTGTACATTGGGCCTTTTCATGGACAATGGTATTGATGTTCAGGTTTTCTTTAAATGTAGGTACATATTTGCATTTTAGCAGCAGAATTGCCACAGCCTGATCATCTTCAATATGTTTTTTTAATGTGATAAATTAGGCCTGATAGATGGCCTTCCTGAATCAGTTGGCTAATTATCTTCCTCAGAGACTTGATGTATTATTAAAGTGGTTTCTAAAGTGGCCGTTGTTCCTGCAGCTGCGTGGAGGTGCTGCTAGCGTCCAGAGCAGCTGTGGACCCCGTAGCCTCCGAGGGGCAAACTCCCCTCTTCCTGGCCTGTGAGGCAGGAAGGCTGGACTGTGCTCAGGCTCTGCTGAATGCAGGAGCCAACCGGTCACTCACCACCACTGTAAGTCTTTCTTTAGCTTTCTTTTTCACTCATCCTGTCGTTTAGGTGCAGCTGAAAACCATGTAAAATGAGGTATTTTCATATGCTTGCTCCTCAGTGAATAGTAACTGTTGTTTTTTGGTTTCACACAGCGAAATGGAAGCCAAATAATTGCACAGTTGTAAGATGAAAATCATTAATGCTGAGAAAATCCCTCCGCTGTCCTCACTGTTGTCTCTTCGTTACTACGTAGTAACACTCTTTGTTTCACACCCGCGCCGCTCCACACAAAGGATTTAAACAGTCTCAGGGGTTTGGTCGTCTGATTACCACCATCCCATTGATGCACAAGCTTTCTGTGTCTCCATGGTAACCATACAGCTCTCCATGAGTAGCTGTGGCAGCCTGAGATGAGCCCCTATATTTAGTTACTTTCTTTGTTCTATATTTAACCTGCTGTGCTCTGTAACATATCCGACCTGCTGAGCACCAGGATATTTTGAGCTGAAACAAGTATGTCTGCCACTTAGTGGGTCAAAAGCCGTGTATTCCATCTTAACCCCAAATTACTGCTGATGTTGTTTAATCCTATTTACACTGTTGGTTTAATTCATCGAACATTTAATTAGTAAT